GCCAGCCTGGTCTACATAGTGAGTTCCAGGACAGCTGGGGCTACAGGGAGACCCTGTCTCAAAAAGAAAAAAAAAAAAAAAAAAAAGATGTATTTATTTTAAATATGGAATGCTTTATGAATTTTTTTGTCATCCTTGTGCAGGGGCCATGCTAATCTTTTCCATATGGTTCCAATTTTAGTATTATGGGTTGCTATGTGTGTTGTTGAAGTGAGCACTGAAGATTTATTTGTGTTTATGTTTGTATGTTCATATGAGTGCAGGTGCCCATGGAGTCTGAGGTGTCAGGAGCTGTAAGTTATAAGCTGTTGTGAGCCATCTGACCTGGGTACTGGGAATCAAACTCAGGTCCTCTGCAACAACAGTATATGCTCTTAACTACTGAGCATCTCTCCAGCTCCAAAGACCCATTTTGTTTTGTATTGCCTTTGTCCTTTTCAGTGTGTGGTATGTCTCTACATGTACATTAAAAATTTCTTTTTGGTCTTTTTGAGACAGAGTCTCCCTGAAGCCCCAGCTGACCTGGAACTTGCTATGTAGACCAGGCTGGGCTTGATCTTCCTGAGATCCGCCTGCCTCCCTAGTGCTGAGATTAAAGGCATGCACCACCATGGCTGGCTACATGTACATCTTTTAAGGGCCTATTAGATATATAAGGATATCTTTATGGATATATTATGAACCTCCTTGGAGTTTACTCCATTAGACAAAAGCCATCCTCTCAACTCTCACTGAATAGGTCCTCTGCTCATGTGCCCTTGAGGGACATTAAGGTCAGACCCTCCAGTGTCCTGGAAGACTCACTGTTTCAGGACCAAGCAGGGATTGCCCCCCAATCTCTTACTCCCTCAGGACCAAGCTCAGAGGCACACCTTTGATTTCTTTGCCAGAATTGCCTTTGGTCTTTTTGCTAAATTAGAGTCATAGTTTTTGTTCTTAGCATCATCTTTAGTTCTTGCCCTTTCTCAATGTTGACACCATTTAGTATCTGGAAAGGCTGAGTATTTTCTGAACAGAGGTTCTGGCTCCCTTCTTTTGGATGGTACTATCATCACTGCATCTCTTTCTTAGTATACTTCACATAAGCAGAAAGCAAACTCCAGGCACCCTTGGCTTGGGAATCTCCAGAGGCAGTTTACACCTCTCAATTCACTGAGCACATTTCTACTGTTCCAACTTCAGGCAACAACATGGTCAGACTTCCTACCAGGGCACCATGGTGTACCCCTCTTCTGGTCGTCTACAGGATTCTTCTTGTGTACTTGCAGGTCCTGATGGGCAGCGTTCTCAGTGTATAGGGGTTTCATGTTCAGAGCGCTTTAAACTTTGACTGACAGGCTGCTCAGTGCTTGTTCTTTGGTTCCAAAACCACTCCTACATTTTAGTTTTATTACAACAGTATACTGCTCTGTTCTAAAACCTATGGTGATTTTTTTTCCTACTTGGAGACCAGTTATCTCAATGCTGAGTGGCTTAAAGCAGTAAACGAATAGTGCCTCATTGTATCTGTGAGTGAAGAGTTGAGGTGTGACCCAACTAGATGCCTCTGGCTCAGTGTCTAATCAGGACTTAGTTATCTCAGGTTCATCTAGGGTCATAGCATTTACTTCTCAAACTCATCTTGAGGCTGTTGACCAGACTCATTCCCTAAGTCCACCACAGGCTCTGTTTCTGGTTCCCTGGGCCCCTCTACAGGCTGCTAGAGTATCCTTGCAACAAGGTACCAAGTGATACAGGAAGAACAGCCCAGAGTTCGAGATAGACACCATAGTGTTTGTGAACCTAAGCTCAGAAGTGGAGTTCAATCACTTTTACAGTATTCTGTTTGCTAGGAATGAGACCTTAAGTCCTGCTTATCTTCAAGGAGATGAGATTACAGAAGGGAGTAGACATGAGTAGTAGGATTTCTAGAGGCTAGGTTAGAGGCTGCCTATGACATTAACCAGTGAGGACAGATAGTGAGAATTTATAGAAAAGGGAGATACTGAAAGATTTGACAGGGAGAACAAAATAGGTTTAGAAAAACTAGTTTAGAAAATTCAGGCAAACTTTGGGATCATTTGCTAGTGCAGAGACTTGGTGGTGACAGTTAAGGGCTAGTGTGTGTCACCAAGAATAGATTTTGGCAAGTTCACTCTGTTTTCTATGCAGACAGGGTTATCGCATGTTCTGCAGGTGTTGGTATGTGGGAGGTTGTTAGGACATCTGAATGCATTTGTGGAGAAGGTTGAGAATGTGCAGCAGGTGTCTGCATCCATGTTGATTGACATATGGTACACCAGCCGTACTCAGACATGCTGCCAGCATCACTGTTAAACTCTGGGGAGGGCTCTAGTAATACAACTCAGGGTTCTTTCCTGGCACGTTCACCGTTCTCAGTGGCTTGGTGACAACTGACATTAACTTTGTTAGATTTTTAGTTGATATGAAATTGGTAGCAATGTCAGAAACTTTTGAAAATGTTTGAGACCAAGATAAGATGTGATTTAAGAGATTGATATTCAGGGACTGAAGAGATGGCCTAGCAGTTAAAAACACATACTGCTCTTCTTGAGTTTGGTTCACAGCACCCAAGTCAGATGACTCACAACCACCTGTAACATCAGCTCCAGGCTGATCTGATGCTTTTGGCCTTTGTGGGTACCTTACTCATGTGCACATACACCCTCCCCCAAATACACACATATACACATAATAATAAAATGAATTTTTTAAAAAATGGAACTGGGGATGGAGAGATGGTTCAGTGGTTAAGAGCACTGGCTGCTCTTGCAGAGGGACTGGGCTCGATTTCCAGCATCCACATGGCACCTGAAACTCCATCTAGTTCCAGGGGAATCTGAAGCCCTCTTCTGACCTCCGCAGCATTGCATGACACAGGTGCACTCATATGCATGCAGGCAATACACTCATACACATAAAATAAAAGTAATAAAATATTTTTTTAAAAAAGAAATTGTTCAGGATTTGAGTTTTCTACAACAAATGCAAAAGTGTAGATTAAAGGAAATAAGAATTATAGAAAGGAGATGGGTACTCATGCTGATTGTGAGCCCCAAAGGAGCCCCTAAGAAATCAAATAACCTGGGAGAAAATTCAGTTTGGGCCTCTGTACATCTTGTCCTGAAAAGATGGTGAAGGGCTGCTAGGTTCCAGCCCCACTGGCCTATCCTGAGGCCTTCATACAAAGCACTGTTGATGATGACCTTTCTCACAGTCTACCTGAGGAGCAGATGGTATGCCCCTTGCTTATAAGCATCAGGCTACCCAAATCTACAGTGCCTTAGGTCACCCTTCAGTACACGAAGGCTTGCCATCCAGTCATATCTTGGTGACATGTACTGGACTCTGTCATTAGGAGAAGGCTCAACTTGCAGTTTATACATCTGCTAGGAGCAGTGACATGCCTGGAGTGAGGGGATGGGAGTTGTGGGGAGATATATTTTGATAGTCTGAGAGAGCACTGCTTGATCATCAGGGCTTGTGGAGATGGTTTGTTCAGACCCATAAGATGATGTCAGCATTGGATTAGTGAGATCACACAGTGTTTGTTAAAGCCCTTACTGTGCAAATGTGAGGTCCCTAGAACTGATGTAAATGCCAGGTGGGTGTGGCAGCATTCCTGTAATTCCAGAGAGAAGGGATTCCACAGAATTAACTAGTGGTATCAGAGAGCTTTGCATTCATTGAGAGACTTTGCCTCAGTGAATAAGGTGGAAGAGCAATCAAGGAAAATGCTTGACATCAACCTCAGGCCTCCACAGGCATATATACACATGTGTATCCACACATAATACAAGCACACATTCATATATGCATGTATACCACACACAGGTACATAGAAAGAAAGAAAGAAAGAAAGAAAGAAAGAAAGAAAGAAAGAAAGAAAGAAAAAAAGATGCAGGTATTGCCTGGCTTTGATAAAGCACAGGCGAGGCAGACGACTTCAAGTGAAGAAGAAGAATACCAGTAGCCTACCCTTGCTCCAGTACTTGCTTCTTTCCAGTATGTTGGGGGTAGAGGTATAGGGAGAACTCGTGCCTGGACCTGTGGCCTTTACAACCTTCCCTTATCAAGCTATCATAAGACATGTGCTCCATGCTGCCTCATCTGACTTGCACAGCAGATGGGAAGCAGGGTGGGTGTTAACTGAGAGATGTAGCTGCACTAGTGCAAATGCCAGGATCTGTGCACACATCTGTCAGTTTCATCTATATGTGCACACACATGCAGATACACATGTGCCGTGTGCTGACATTGTCCCTGTTTCAGTTAATTGTTGGGAGCATCTTTGAAGTGGTCTGGGCTGCCATCAAACCAGGAACCTCCTTTGGAATCAGTGTGCTACGGGCACTCCGCTTGCTGAGGATCTTCAAGGTCACAAAGTATGTCATCTATACACTACTGGTTGGGGGAGATGGGTGTAGGCAGTGTGTAAGACTGGCCTACATGGGGATTGATGGTATCGAAAGCTTATTCTGTGACTTATTGGCTTAAATACAACACTGATTGTAAAGCAACGCAAGCCAGGGCAAGATCTTTTGGGGCCATTTGTATCCTTAGCATTGCCCCTAAATGCCATAGCACTCCTGGCTCTCTTGATGGTTTGCCCTGCCCACAATTTCATACCATCTTCTCTCGAAGCCACTGGTTCTATCTTCCAGGCCTTCAGAGATGGCTTTCTTTATGACAATTAGACAAAAGTTATCATTTGCTGGAAAAGGGATCCTAGAGGTTCATCAAAGAAAGTGAGCAAAATAAGGCAGATTCCGAAAGACGTGAATTCTATGTTTCCTCTCATTTGTAGATCCTAAATTCATATATAAAAACCTCACATGTATGCACACACACAGACACACACACAGATACACACACAGACACACACAGACACGCACAGATACAGACACACACACATGCACACACACGCACACACAGACACACGCACACACACAGACACACGCACACACACACAGACACACGCACACACGCACACACACAGACACACACGCACACACACACAGACACACACACGCACAGACACACACACAGCATAAAAACAGAAACAGAACTGTCTTGGGGAAAGAAAGAAAAAGTTCTCAGATGGAAATTTTCCCGTAGTCCTGCCCCAGAGCTGCCCATCCACCATGCAGAGGTTGGGAAGCTTTTGCCCTGACATTTGCCCTGATCTTATGGCAGCAAGCCAGATGCTTGCATGGATCCTTTTCCTAGGCCTGATTTCTTCACCTTCCTACCAGATCCCAGCTTTGTGATATGATAGTAGCAATTCTTTTTTGAGCTGTATTTCCCATAAATCTGACTCAGGAAGAAAGTTGCCCCATTTGCCCACTGAAGAGACTGAGGTCCAGGAAGGTAGTGTGAGAGGAGTGCTAGGGCCAAGACCCTTCTGCATACCATCAAAGATGCAGGCGGGGCTGAGGGTGAGGAAGAAGGACCTCTCTACAATGGCTGCTGTGGGCTCAGCTTGTTCTGGGTTTCAGAGGCTCTTGCGCTGTGGGGATCTCTGTGTGCTGTTCTAGTAGCTATGGGACATAGCTTCCTAGGTATACTGAAGTCCTGTTGGTCTTTTCCACTCATTTTAAATCCAAACTCCAGATCAAATGAGGACATGAAAACATGAAAGAAGTTTGTTCAGAAGTTTATTCCAGATAGGTCCACAAATGTACTGAGCATGTCCTGTGACCAATCTTTAGTTTCCCTTCCCCACCTATGGTCTCTTGGTAAGACAGTCTCCTGAAGGTGACCACAGGAGATGCCTTTACCTCAGTCCTGGGCCTTCAGCTCCTCCCAGGAGGTCAGTGATGCTTGTCCTATTGCATGTTGACTCCTGCCCCTGCTAGATGAGAAGGCTGTACCCTTCCGAGTTTTCTAGTACTCTTGAAACAACTCTCATGTTTCTTGTGAGAGAGGCTGTGGAGGATGGCTAGACCTGGCAAGGGCACCAGGAAGAAGCATAGTATTTTAGAGCCCCTGGATGCCCCCTGAGCACAGGGGTGAGCACAGAGGAGGCCTGTGTCTGTGCTGTCACCCATCACCCCCTGTGTCAGGGTGACATACTAGCATGTGCAAAGGTGCAGAGGCAGGTGGCCTGTCTTCCTGGTTGGGTGCCTAGAGGAAAGCCTGTATGTACTTGGGATAGCGTGTCCAAGGCTGGGATGGCGGTTGGAACCGTTCCTTCAGCAGCAATACCATCACAGATAAATGAACCTCGTATAGCATGCAGGTTGGTCGTGAATTGAAGGAATCATATTCTCTACTCAAGGAGTGTGATGGAAGGGCCTTAAGGAGCTGGCAGGGTGGAAGGTAAAATCTGGGTTTGGGCCTTGCTGCCTGACAGGCAGTGGAATCTTTCTGGCGAGGAGGATGGGGCAGTTAGGTATAGTGAGGATAATTTCAGCACTGCAAGCATGTGTCTGTTGTTGTTTCCTCACGACTGGACTGAGAGTCCAGGGTCATGGATTTGGGTTCTTGGAGGATGTGTGCCCCACATGTAGACAAAACTGTAAGTCAGAGAAGCTAGTGCGAATGCAAGGAGCCTAGATGAGTGTGAGGCAGCACCAGGGTGGCCTAGCTAGGCTTCAGCCACCCTTCCTGCTCAACAGGTACTGGAACTCCCTGAGGAACCTGGTGGTGTCCCTCCTCAACTCCATGAAGTCCATCATCAGCCTCCTCTTCCTGCTCTTCTTCATTGTGGTTTTTGCTCTGCTGGGAATGCAGCTATTTGGGGGGACAGTAAGTAGCCCAGGTTTGGGAGGGCAAGCCAGGGTCCCTGTCAGAACAGACACTGCTGCCCCAGGCTTTCTCTACCTGCCTCTTTCCTGAAGGTCCTCAAAGTGTGTTGAGGATGCTGAGAGCTCATGAGGAGTGTGTGGATGCCAAGGGGCTGGTCCCCAGGCTCCTGATGGGACTGACTCTTCTTAAGACTTCCTGTTTTTCTCAGGTTCAACTTTCAAGATGAGACGCCGACGACCAACTTTGATACCTTCCCAGCTGCCATCCTCACTGTCTTTCAGGTGAGGCTTGATTTCTGCTTGGTTTTCATCTCCCTCAGGTGCTGGGAAGGGGGCCAGCACAACCAGATGTCCCACATTTAAACAAGACATCTGCACAACAAAAGATAAGCCTCAGCAGGTCCTGGGCTTGGGTGTCAAGGGAAAGTGGGTGATGTGATACCATCCTACGCAAGTGAAGCTCTCTTGGGATGCCCGTGTCTATGAGCTACCACTCCAAGCCAACAATTTATCTTAGCCCCTAGGGCCTGAAAACACAAACCAGAGTTCTCCCTGAACGTCTTCTGTAGGGTCTCGGGTCCAATGGCCCCTCTGTTCTTTCCTCAGTCTGGGTTATATCCCCTCTAAGGACTTCTGGAAAGCTGAGGCTATGTATTCATTGTCTGTTTGATGGAGCCTTGTTAGCTCAGGTGTTCTCTTCCCTCTTGCACAGTTCCTGTTTGAAGACTCTTGGTTGGGCACTTTCTCTCTTAACAGTGGGCCTCACAATGCTGTCAGAACTGGTCTCACTGATTAGGTAGTGTCCTGTGTTTCTGTCTCATGATACCAGTTTGGACGTCTTGTCTGAGACTGGGCAGGGTGGGATGGGCTGTTCACCTGCCATAATGATGCTTGGGCTCAGCTCAGATCCTGGCCTCCAAGGGCCAAAGCTCAGCCCACAGGTGTGGAGAAGCCTTTGCTCCTATTCTCTCAGAGGGAGGCCGTCTTTCCAGCAGGTGATCCAAATCTACCTGATGATTGGCTAAGGGAACAACAGTTTGGTCTTGATTATTTGCACCTCGCTTTTTATGCTGTCCATTTCCTCATACCTTGTCCCCATTCCTTTCCCTGGCAGGGCTCTTGCAGCTATCAGCTCAGTCACTGCCACGTAGAGTGGGTGTCTCTGCCTGAACCTGTCGGTAGAGCTGAGCTTCTTCTGTCCTTCCTCCTTCCCTTTCTGTACTATCTGCCTCTTTTCTCTTCCTTGGATTCCCCAAGCGTACCTGTGCTCACTCCATATGCTCTCTTTCTCTTGGAAAGTTCTGGCTTGCCAACAGGTCAGTGGCTTCCAGAGTTTGAACCTCTACTGCCTCTGCAGACAGAGGAGTGTGGCTCCAGCCCAGGTCCTTGATGTGTGCATTGTGTCTGCTTGGGAAGGGGTGCTTCTTCCCATGGTTCTTGGGCTAGGGTGCCCAGGTACTAGGGCATGGAAACTGGGAGGAGCACATTTTAGATTCTGCAGTGAGCATGATGAAGGGGCAGGCCCTATAAGCAAATAGGCTTTGATAGTGGGAGTCCTGGTATAGCTTCATATTGGAGGCAGGGAGCATGCAGAGGTGGTGGTGGTGACTGTTTCATGGTGATTCCTCTTTCTGTGTTTGTTGCCAGAAAGGGCCTTATCATTGTTGGCGGGGGGGGGGCAGTTAGGAGAAGTGCTTCTTCTAGTCCAAAGGTGTCTGACCAGACCTTACATACATTCTTCTCTGAACACAGCAACAGGATAATAATAGAGTATTTGAGTGTCACTGCATCAGTAATGTGCACATGTGGCTAGGCATTCTGTGTACTGGAGGAGATAGGAAATGTTGACAGGGCAGGAGCAGGGCACAGTTGCCAGGCCCAGATCTGGCCTCATAGGATGCCTCTGGACCCAGAGGCTTAAGATCCAAGAAAGGAGACCCTGCCTCTGAACTGAGCTGTGAGTGTGGCTGGGAGGGCACAAAGGCGGAAGAAAACCAGCTTCACTTTGCTCATGGAGACTTGCAGTTTAAATCCTGTGAAACACTGACATTCCAGAAAAGGATCAGCACCCCTGGTGGGAAAGTAAGAACATTTTTAAAGAAAAGGAAGTAACAGAGGAAGTGTAGCTAACTATGAGCTGAGTCAAGGGACAAAGGAGGAACCCACAAAAATCCCAAATTAAGGCAATGGGACCTAAGTTAAAGAAAAAAAGGGGGAAAAAAAAGAGAACTAGATAACAATCCTAGAAATTAAAGCCATAGCAATTAAACTAAAAATGTAGGTGGACTGCACTCAGAACACCATCCAAGGGAGAGTGGGTAAGCTGGAAAGAGTGTGGTGCCTAACTAGTTGCAGCTGGTTAGCTGGACGTCCAGGATATTCTGGGGTGGGAGGCTCAGACAGAACTGGGGCTGAGGCTGGGGGTGGAGGTACAGCGTAGTGGTAGAGCTCTTGACTAGTATGCACTGACCATGAGCTCAATTCCAGAAAAAACAAAAGGAAACAAATTAAAAAAAAAATGTGTGACCAGTTCTTCCAGGCAGATTCTAAGAGCATGTCTTCATAGAGACTGAACTGGGTGAAAAGTAATTCCTAAAGAGTAAATCCTAAAAGCTGCCCTAGAAAAACAGATTTCCTATAAAAAGACAAATCATCTGACGGCCAACTTAATGAGTAACAGATGCCAGGAGGTTAAGGAAAGTAACTGGAATATTGGGGTATAGTCTCAGAGTCTAGGCTAGTCAGTCATAGAGCCATGACTCAGCATGAGGGAAGCCCAGAACACCATTTTAGACAGGGATAACATGCCCAGTGGCTGCTGAAAGCACTTTGGATGTTCATGTTGAAATAAAAAATAAATTGACCTGAGAAGAAATAGGAGGCCTAGGCTACTTCAGACCCTAGTCAACAAGTCCAGATAGCTGTACAAGTGAATTTTCTATTTAGAAGTTATTCCAATTTTATATAGACTACTTCTGAGAATATATAAACTCCTTACTCTTTTTATGAGGCTAAAATAACCTTAATATGAAAGACAAAACGAGGACAATATGAGAAAACTTAAAAAAAAAAGTCACAAACAGGCAGAAACACCCAGAAGGAAAGAGACCGCAAGTCAAATCTAGATACACTAAAACGTTTTCTTCATAATTAGATATAGTGGCACACACCTATAAGCCTGGCACTTAGGAGGGTGAGATATGAGGATTGTGAGTTGGAGGCCAACCTGGGCTATAGAGCAAATCTCTCTCTCTCTCAGCCTCTCTTAGCCTCTCTCTCTCTCAAAAAGTAAAAGAAAAGAATAAGAAAAAAAGAAAAAAAATCTTTAATGCCATATAGAAAGACAGGAAACGGAGCTCGTGAGTCAGCTTAGCTGATAAGTGCACTTGCCATGCAAACCTGACAACCCAAGTTCAAGCTCTAGAACCCACGTTAAGGTAAAAGGAGAGAATGGACCCCACAGAATTGTCTTCTGATCTCCGCATGTGTACCATGGCATGCATATGGCCACACATAACATATATAACACACATACAAACACAATAATAATAATATATTGAAACTGGGTTTCAAAAGGAGAACTTAAGTTGCCACCGCCACCTCCAGGCCACTGTGGCGCTTGGGCCGCCCAGGAGCTCTAGGCCAATTTGGCAGAGATCAGAGCTCCAATCCAGGGGAGTCTCGAGGAGCTGGTGGAGTGGCTGCAGACCTACACCTGCCAGACCACATCGTGCTGAATCGGCCTGTTTTGAGAGGGGAGGTCGGGGACAAAGCCGTTGTCTGGAATTCCCATGCCACCACCACCCATGGGACTCCCCCCTCTACAGCCTCCTCCACCACCCCCACTACCTCCACCAGGCCTTGGCCTTGGCTTTCCCATGGCTCACCTACCAAATTTGGGGCCCCCACCTCCTCTCCGTGTGGGTGAGTCTGTGGAACTATCAGAGGAGGAACGGCGGAAGCTGGCACGGCAACAGGCAGTTTTACTGATGCAAGAGGAACGTGCCAAACAGGCAGCTGTTACTGGAGCAGGAATGACAGCAGGAGATTGCCAAGATGGGCGCTCCGGTCCCACGGCCTCCACAAGACATGGGTCAGATTGGTGTTCACACTCCTCTGGGACCTCGAGTTGCTGCTCCAGTAGTCCCTGTGGGCCCCATTCCCACTGTGCTGTCAATGGGGGCACGTGTTCCTCGGCCTCGGGGTTCCCCAGTGCCCCCTGGAGATGAGAGCAGAGAGATGGGTGATCTCTCTGGGTCCCAAGATCCCACAGGCTTTGGAAAAGATTCTGCAGCTGAAAGAGAGCCATCAGGAAAAGATGAACTCTCAGCAGGAGGAAGAGGAAATGGAAACAAATACTCGGTCATTCGTGGGCCAGTCAGCATCAGAGACTGAGGAGGACACAGTGCCCGTATCCAAAAAAGAGAAAAAATGGAAGTGTCGGAACCGAAAGAAGAAGAAAAAGCCCCAGAGAGTGCGGGTGGCATCATCTGAGAGCTCTGGAGACAGAGAAGGACTCAGCCAGGTCCCCGAGGCTCTGACTCCTCTGCCGCTGACGTTGAGATCGAGTATGTGGCTGAAGAACCTGAAATCTACGAGCCCAAGTTCATCTTCTTCAAGAGAGTTTTCGAGGCTTTCAAGCTAATCGACGATGTGAAGAAAGAGAAAGAGAAGGAGCCAGAGAAACTCAACAAAATGAAGAACTCTGCTGTCCCCAAGAAAAAAGGCTTTGAGGAGGAGCATGACAGTGATGATGACAGCAGAGATGATGAGCAGGAAAAGAAGCCAGAAGCCCCTAAAGCTATCAAAAAAGAAGTTGCACCAAATGAACCGTTTTACAGTGCTAGAACTCAAGCAGCTGGTGGCTCGGCCTCATGTGGAGCTCCATGTGACAGCACAAGACCCTAAGCTCTTAATTTACCTCAAGGCCTCTCGGAACTCTGTTCCTGTGCCATGCCACTGGTGTTTCAAGCACAAGTACCTGCAGAGCAAATAGGGCATCGAGAAGCCAGCCACGCCCCCCCCCTCGAGCTGCCAGACTTTATCAAATGCACAGGCATTCGGGAGATGTGGGAGGCCCTCCAGGAGAAGGAAGAAAAGACCATGAAGTCTAAAATTTGAGAGAAGATTCGGCCCAAGATGGGGAAGACCGATATTGACTACCAGAAACTGCATGACACCTTCTTCAAGTGGTGTCAAGTGGCTGACCATCCATGGGGACCTATACTATGAGGGGAAGGAGTTTGAGATAAGACTGAAGGAGGAAAAGCCGGGAGATCTAT